AGACGTGTGCTCTTCCGATCTCCCCAAAACCCCAAAACCCCAAAACCCCATTGCGCAGATTTTGATTGAAAAAATCATAATTTAACATTCATAATTTAAATGGAAAACAAAAGTTTTAAAATGGAAAGAATTGAAATTTAAGAGGTCCAGCATTTCAAAGGATTTCATATAAACGATAAATCTTATATACTGAACAAAAATTTATTCTTAACATGCGCAAAAGGTTGTGGATTTCTTGTTTCATTAAAAGATTTTACCATCATTAGAAGGTTAAAAGAAATTAAAAGATAAAATGTTTCAGGATTTCATGTGAAAGGTAACCTTTTAATTCTTTTTTGCGGCCATAAGGAGTAACTTATCTATGAAATAACAGAAAATGATATATTCTACTTAAGGAGCTTGTATATCAACAGCTATTACCTTCGATCTTTTGACACTTTCAAGTAAATTGGAGATCCTCTTACATTGGCTGATCCATCAGATCCTTATACTTCAATTCATCAGTTAAAAGTTGGAGTAGATGATGATTAAAATCATATTGCCATTCATGACACGTACTAGATGGATTCTAAATACTTTTAGTTTTAACTCATTCCTCTAAATAAGAAATACTTATACTTAGATTTCAAGCTAGACCCTTTAACTCAATAAATGAAGTATTTTTTATGCAGGGTAAAGTTTCATAAGAAAAATATGAAAGTGACATACAAAGTTATTAGAAAGATCGATTAAGATTTCTATATCCTAAACGCTAAAATTTAGAGTAGAAAGATTCTAATAGGATAAACTAAGCAGAAATCTAATATTACTGCTGGTGGACTAGTTATGATTGATTTAGAAAAACAGAGAGTAATTCAACAAACATTTTAGCTATCTATTACTGGAAGCGATAATTGCTTTACAAGACCAATAAATTAATACCTGCAATTTGGAAGTTTTTAGGAACAAATTTTTATAACAAATCTAAAAAATATGGAAGTTCACTAAGGTCAGATGAAATTTGATGGCCATCTAATCTAACTTCTTAGTGATAAAGGGTATGTTTATTTAGATAAGAAATCTATCAAGTACAGGCAAGGGGATTCAACTTTCAATTTAGCTTTTGAAATATTATAATATCGCTACTCAAACTAGAAAATTTCTAAGTTTTCTTTCGAAATAGACTGCTGATATTTTAGATTCAAGAGATAAAATAATTTGATAAATAGCAGAAATTAATTAATTAATAATACATCAACCAAATCTATCATCTTTGTATTTAAGGGGTTTTGGGGTTTTGGGG